GGTTAAATGAACAAACCAGTATCATTGCTCAATCACACTTTACCAACAATAGAAGTGTTTAAAACTCTAGCTGACACAACACAAGCCATTCATCCCTGCAAAGTAGCAGGACTACAAACAGAGGAAGTCCTAATTTAAGCTGTAAGCTGCATTTGAGGAGCAATGTGTTGCTATTTGTGCAGATTAGTTTAAGTGTCAAGATGAACCCTACATTTATAATAAAGCACATCAGTGCATCATTTGACAGGTTTTTTGTTTTTAAGCAGCTGACAGTAAATCAGTGGTTATTATCCCTGTTAGCAGCAGGCCACCGTTTGCCATTATCACAGGCCATGCCAGTTTCGAATCTGACCCTCCCTGTGCGGTGCCAACACGCTCACACCTCAGTCATCATGGGAGGTCATGCTTACTACGCATGGCATTATATGACTGCCCACACTGCCGTTTCTTATAGTAAATGACTAATAGGCTCAGTCACCTTCCAGGACGACATACTGGGTTCAATTCTCAGCTGTTTCACAGTGACGTTTGGATTTCTGCTTTAGCTGTGGCGCAAGGAGATTATTATTTTTTCTTATCAGCTAATTAACAGAACAATTTTCCAAAAATAGTGCAAACTAAACTCTGTTAACAAAAACACACCATGGCCTAAAGTCATCAAATGTAAATTTAATTTGTGTGCATGTGTGTGCGAGCATGGGCAAACATCAGCTGGTTCTCTAACGAGGGATCAGTCAGGGAGGTTTCTAACATAATGTTCTCAAATAAATGACAGCACGACAAAAGAATGTGGATGTGAAGCCAGCGGGATGCAACAGCCGCAGAATCCATACACCATAACAAACATTTCTTTTTTTTTTAATGAACACAACTCTAAAGCCAAACTTGTCATCCTTCTGTGGCCTTTGTGAAGCCGCACTATCTGATGTTTCTCCCAGGATCTTATTGAGTTGTGCAGTGGTATAATTTTTATTCTGTTTTATACCTCTAGCGTGTTTTCTGTTTAAATTTTTTTATTTTAATTTTATGTAATTGTTCTCTATGTCTCTGTCTGTTTAACCATATAACAAGAACCATGTTTGTCATTTCTTTTCATATCTGTAAGATGTTTCCAAAAAAAAAAAAACTGTAGTCACAGGGATGTTTCCACATTTACCTTCATTAAATAGTATTTAATAAAACTAAAGAAATAAAAAAAAATACAATTTCACAGTAAGTATATGAATTTTTTATTTGCCATGGACCACGTGTCTAACTCAAGGTCCTGGTCCAAAAGGCCACCACAGCATTTTATGTGGTCTTTAAGAGCTTTAAAAATGTATTGTCTTAAAATAAGCATGATGCTTCCTTAAAGCCAGCACTGACCTTAAACTACATCTCCATAATGCATGTCGATTATTTTGACGTTTCATGTTTAGTTGAAGTTAAACAAATAAAAGTTGATGTGGCCCTCTGAAAATGAGTTTGACACCCCTGGCATAGACTACATTGTTAAAAATAACTATAATACCCATTTATTCTGTATTTTGGTAATACCAAAATCTATTCTTGGTCTATCTGAAATCATTATTTTTAATCCAGAGAAAAAAATTTTACCCCAGGACAAAACTTTATATTTTTCTAAACCAATAGGATTAAAAAAAACTGAAGTATTTGTTTTAATGGTTCTGGATTTTTGTATTTGTCTCATAATTTGAGTTTATTTGTGACAGTGTTTCTAGTTATTTAAATATATATATTTTTGTTCTTGTTTCCTTGTGTTCAGCTGATCACTTTGGCTTCTATCAATATTGTTTCCCTTCAGCAATGCTTGCAAGTCCTCACACATGCAGTCAATCTGCTAATCAGCCCACCTGACTGCAGTCAGTAATCACTGCTCCCTGGTGAAAGAGCCCTCTTTCATTGCAGAGTTTACAAGACAATAATTCAGAGTGCAGACCAGATATTGTTTTAGAGATACAGCAGACATTATACAGAATACAAAGAATGGGTTTGGAAATAGTATTTTTATGGATACCAGCACATATCGGGATAAATGGAAATGAAATGGCAGACAAAACAGCAAAGGAAGCTACAAAACATAATATTGATATGGAAATTAATGTCAGTAGATCAGAAATCAAGAACATCATTAAACAGAAGTTGAAGGAAAGATGACAAAATCTACAGGAAAAAGAGAAAAAAGGAAGATGTTGTTTTTAAATACAAAAGAAAGTAGTAGAGATGAGGGATAGGGGCAAAACAGGAGAGAAGACACTAATATCAAGATAAGATTTGGACACACTGGGTTGAAGAGCACATTGTTTAAAATAGGAAAAAATAATACAGAAAATTGTGAATTTTGTGATTTGGAAGAAACAGAACACGTTATGATACACTGTAAAAATACAATAAAGAGAGGTATATTTTTATATGAAATCTGGAAAAGATTAACGTAAGATACACTATCAGAAGTACTAAAACAAATGCTATCCATTTACAATCCAGTTTTTATTAAGCACTAATTTATTTGGAAGGATCTAATTTAATTAATCAGTTAAAATATTAATAGAATTTAGTTTTTTTTTCTTAGTAAAGAATCTTGATCCTCACTCCTTACCGGTTGGTGGCGGTAATACACCATTAAGTTGATTGTCAACCGCCAATAAACACCACAAGAAGAAGTAGAAAGAGCCCTCTTCTGCTCATTTCAGATTATCAGGTCCAATTGTTGTTTACTTGTTGTCCCAAAGTAGTCCATCCTTTTGAATGTACTTCCTGCTCACCTTGGTTGGCATAGTATCAACTTTCTGCCTTGTCAGCCTTTTTTATTGTTTTAAATGGAAGTTTTCACAGAGCTGTCCTGCCTCTGTGGTTATGAGTCCTCATCACACCAACTTTATCAAAACTAACGGCCAGAGGTGTCAAGTAACTATGTACAAATACTTTGTTACATAAGTAGAAATTTTGGTTATTTATACTTTAGTGGAGTAATTATTTTTCAGCCTACTTTTTACTTCTACTCCTTACATTTTAATTCAATTGTCTGCACTTTCTACTTCCTACTTTTTAAAAATGCAAAACCATTTCTATTTAACTTTGACTTGTTTTTATTCCATCTTTTCATTGTTCAGAAAAAAATAAATAACTAGAAATCTATCCAGATACACGGAGTCCTTGGATAGAATGAATTTGATTGTGGTTGAATGAGAAGTGTAAATATAAACCATTCTGACACCCTATTGGATTGATCTCACTCCATCACACCTGTATGACACAAATCACATCACATTCCAGCAGGACATACTGTAGCAGATGTATGTAGCCTAGAATGAAAATGATCGTGGCTGAAACAAGTAGTCTAGTCAGTTAATTCCAATTTTTTTCAACATTGACATTTTAATTTAACAATAAACTCATTGATTTTAGAAGAAAAAAAAGTGGGGGGTCTTGCATGCTATAGAACCCTGTGGTACAGCCTAAACTTTTATCCTTAATGGCCCTTTTTTAAGCGTTCATTACTTTTACTTTTATACTTTAAGTAGTTTTAAAATCAGTACTTTTAAACTTTTACTTGAATAAAAAGCTTGAGTTGATACTTCTACTTCCAAAAAGGTATTTCTAAACCCTAGTATCTATACTTCTACTTAAGCAATGAATGTGAAAACTTTTGACACCTAATGGCTGGTTTGAGTGATGCTAAGACCAATGTGGACAACTCCAATATCAACATTTAAATGTGTTTCAGGCTAATGGACATGCAAATGATGGAATAATTGAACCACTTTATCAACTGCAGTGAAATGGGTTCATTCATTCATACTTTAAGGGACAGCTGGTGGCAAAATATTAATTGATGCTTTAATAAATATGTGATGATTTTATATGGGGTTTGTGTGAATTATACAATGTTTTTGTAAAGACTGAATTGTTTGTCAGTTGATTCTGTAAATATATGAGGCCAATTTGGTAAAGTGTGTTTGTGTAGCTTCGAACCATCCCTTGAGTCATTTACACTGAGAAAAAATGCTTTATTGTTGTTTTATTTAATTATTCAAGAGTGTTATTTCAACACACTGGTAAATGAACGAGTAAATTACAATCAATCAATCAATCAACCAATCAATCAACAAACCAACCAACCAACCAGCCAGCCAGCCAACCAATCAGCCAACCAACCAACCAACCAACCAACCAACCAACCAACCAACCAACCAACCAACCAATCAACCAACCAACCAACCAATCAATCAATCAATCAATCAATCAATCAATCAATCAATCAATCAATCAATCAATCAATCAATCAANCAATCAATCAATCAATCAATCAATCAATCAATCAATCAATCAATCAATCAATCAATCAATCAATCAATCAATCAATCAATCAGCCAGCCAGCCAGCCAGCCAACCAACCAACCAACCAACCAACCAACCAACCAACCTATCAGTCAATCAATCAGTCAATCAATCAATCAATCAATCAATCAATCAATCAATCAATCAATCAATCAATCAATCAATCAATCAATCAATCAATGTTTATAGTCATTCAATATGTTAAAACATGAGAATGAAATTTGTTACTCAGGTACCAATGTTAAAATCCCTGAATTAAGACCTCGAACTCGTGAGTTCTGATTCGCTGAGAGGATTTGGATCATTGGGTGAGTCAGTAACCAACTTCTTCTAAGAGCTATTTACAACAGACGTTACAAGATATTGTTGCCACAGACCCTCACTTTAGAAAACTACATCTTTAGTTTAAAATAAACTATTTTTTTATTTGTTTCTTTTACTTTCTGTATTTTTAAAATCTTGTTATTTTAATGTCATGAAAGATAAAGTGAGATGTGGTCAGTGGGTGCATGTTGTTTTTACTCAGATGGGATATTTAAAACTAAAAGAACGTCATTTGGACCGAACTATTAATAAGTCGTCGTTTTGGTGCCCACCCACCCCCTCTGGACCGAACCCCATTTTACCCCCTTGGACGCTCTCCCGGTCGGTGTGCGCGTGTGGCAGCTGTGCGCATGCGCAGCGGCGCACGGTCCTCTGAAGAGTTGGCTTTTTTTTTTTTAATAAGCCCGCGCGCTCAAAGCTGAACGCTGACTGCAAAATAATGTTGTTTCCCGCGGAAGTTAGAGAGCCTGTCACCGAAAAACAAGCCCGGATTTTGAGTCAGAGCTTGTAAGTGTGTTTAAATTGAGTTTGAAACGCTCGTGTTGGTTTCTGGTTTAACTTTTTTATTTTTGGTGTGTGTGTGTGTTTAATACCCAGCTCCGGCTGAGTGTTTTGGTCCGGTCAGTGTCACGGAGCTGTGCAGAGACCACTTCGGGTTTGTTATGAGCTCTTTTCAGCTGTTAGGACAAATCTAGGAGCTGAAACCATCATTTTATCCACAGGTATGTCAAGTTTCATTAAATAAACGTTTAAAGTTTTATTTGGCACAGCTGCAAATCTGTTTTTTTTAGAGCAGATATGTAGTTTTAGACATCTAAAAATCGCTTTGGAACTGATTAAATGATCCAAATTAAAATGTCTTATAGGTTAAAAATAAAACAACAACACATAATCAACTGAAGATATTTCCTGATGATAATAGAGCTGTGAAAAGGGCAAAAATTAATCAGTTTAATGTTTTTTCATTTTATTATTAATTGAGTTACATTAACCTCCAAAAAAATGATATGTTTTATGTACCTTTTCCCTCCTGAGACCATTATTATTTTTTTCCAGCACACAAAAAGTAATCAAACTAAATTGAGTATTTTACTGGATGTGCAGATCAAGTCAGGGGCCACATCCAGACACAAGTCAGTGTTTTTTCTGCCCACGGCCCCACGTGGACTTTGTGTTTATATTTGATCTGCAGGAAATGGGGGGAATCTTATACCTCTACCAGGTTCTCTTATTCCTGCAGGGCTTCAGTGGCCCGTGGTTATTGGCCCCCGTCCTCATCTTCCTCCTCCATGTAACAACACATAGTTACACACGGACGCAAAAAAGAAAAATCTGATCAGGGTCGTAATCCACACAGATTAGATTACACACTAAAATAACATAGTTAACCATTAAAAGCCGACACGTGTTGAGATTCAGTTGGATTCCTGTACAAGAAAAAAAACATAAACTAGATTTAAAGGGAGTCCTGTTTTATTTAAATCAAATACACTTTGCACCTGTTTTCTGTTTTGATGTAAAGAAACAAAGTAAGGCCTGCTGGGAAATGGTGTTTGAGTGAAAATAATATCTGTAAATAGGGTTAAATTAGGGCATTTTGAGCCACAGTGGTAACTTATTTTACTATAAATATTAAATATAAGTGTGCATCTTGATTATTAATGGATAAAATCTGTAAAATGGCTACAAATTTGATGCTGCAAACAAACAAATATAAAATGACTTTTATTATTGTTTTATTTTATCTAGAAAGGGACATTATTCAGCATTTAAATAAAATGTAACATTTTTTACTGGAAGTCCCCATCCAGAGTGTAAATAAAAGTTACAGCCGTAAAATATTAAAACATCGACAAATGACTTAAAGAATAAAACTATTAAATATAAAATAGTTTTAGGAGCTTCTGTTTTTGTGCAAATACAAATAAATTCTTCAGTCTTCTAATTTTGCACTTTTTTAATTGTTTTGTTTGAAGAGGGCCAGGTTTATTTAATCAAATAGATGAAAGGCCTACACTTAAACAAAATCATCCAGATCATTTAGAAATCGATCCCAGGCTGTTTTTTTTTTCTTTACATGTTGGTTGTTTGTCTTCTCAGTCAGAAAAGGTCTCTCTGAACTCAGGGACTCTCTGGGAAATTGGAGCACAACTATTTCTTGCAGCTTAAATTTTTAAAATCTATTTCTGCCAAACAGAACAGTTTAATC